TGGCTCTCAAAACATATGCAGATGTCGCATGGTATTAGCAATAGAAAATAATAGTTGAGTAGCAGAGAAGACAGGAGTTAGAATTATAAAGTGTTCACAGCACAGGAGAAAGTCTTTTGGCTCATCATGTCTGTGCTCTGTTAGGCCACTCATTGGACCTACCCACTCTAATTCCATTGCCCTCTTCTTTCCTAGTGCTCTTTCATAGTCATTTGAAATGTTGTAACAGTCTCAGTTTCAACAGATGTTCGAGGTAAGCGTTTTATGTTCTAACAGAACACTCACTTTTGTGTTGTCTAAATTTGACACTGAAGCCCATCTACTGATTTTTTCTACTTTAAGTTCAGTTTGCCTCAGAATATTTTTCTGCTTCTGATCAATGCCTTAAGGTGGATCCAAAGGTTACCTTTTGGTAATCTTTAGGCTATTTGTAGAGACAAATGTTCAGCCTCACTTAGATAACTCATCAGTCAAGTTTGGGTAACAAATAATAATGATAATAATCTTTCCATTTGATATCAATAATTCAAAGTAGACAGCCCCAATTTTAACAATTTTAGACCATAACAGCTCACTTTCCCCCTCTTCTGTGACCATTACCACATCATCTGGGTCCCCAACACACCTTTTCTTTCTTTGGTTTGCCTATTTTGTTGCAATTGTTTCCCACCTTTGTTTTGCATTATTAGCACCTCTATTCCCCTGCTTTGTTGCAATCACCCCCCCCACCCTTTGCTTTGCATCATTAACACCTCTTTAACCCATCATCCCCTGACCTCTACTCCATTTTCTGCTTTGTCTTCCTTGCCCTGCCTCCCCCATCTCTGTTGGTCCTTAAAAGCCTCTCCCTCCCAACATGCCCCAGTTCTGACGAAGGGTCGTGCACCCAAAACGTTGATTCACTTTCCTTTCTCCATTAGATCCTGCCTGACCTGCTGAATGTTCCCAGCAACTTCTGTTTCTGTTTCAGATTTCCAGCATTTGCAGTATTTTCCATTTTTTAAAACCTCTATTCATTGTTTATGTTGTTGATGCTATATCAAATGTGACAATCATAATAATAATCCTTGTATATAGTGCCTTTCATGTCAGGAGGACGTCTCAAAGTGCTTTGCTGTAAAATGTAAAGTTACTGTGTATTTTGTACGTGAATTAACTATGCATAGTAATTTCCCACAAAGAACCAGATTATTAAAGCAAACAGTTCAGTTATTTTTAAAGACAAGGTAAATATCAAGTGCTGAATATATAAGCATGTGTTCTCACCCTTGTCTTCAAGTCCCTCCACCCCTTTGCACCGCCCTACTTCTCTGACCTCTTCCCTCCTCAAAACAGCGTCCACTGCCTTCGTTCCTCCGGATCTGGCCTCCTCCTTGTCCCCCGAGTACTTCGCTCAACCCTCGGCGGCTGTGCCTTCAGCCAATATGCCCCGAGGCTCTGGAACTGCCTTCCTCACTCCCTTTGTCTCGCTCCCTCCATTCCCATTTTCAGGTCTCTGCTGAAGACCTTTCTTTTCGACCGCGCCTTTGGTCATCTTCCTCCCCCTTCCCCTGGCTCGGCCCCGGGATCCGTTACTGTGAAGCGCTCCGATACACCGTCCGGCGTGGAGGGCGCTATATAAAACCGAGTTGTTGTCGTTGTTGTTCACCAATTGGGTGTGCAACCATTGGGATCACAGACCTTTAGAGTTTCCTCATGAGCCATTTAATGAACAGTTTGCCTTAGAAGGATCCAGGGTTAAAGTAAAGAAGACAGTAAGGATATCATTAAAGATAGCTCTTATAAAAAGCTGTTAATCTGATTTACAAGAGAATTGATATTGGAGGACAAGTTTATGCTGCTAAGCAGCCAGCATGCATGCAGTAATTAAACCATAGCTATTACTATAACTTTTCAATATATATTTTAATAGCGATCACAAAATGAGATTTGTTTGAAATGAAGCAAAACAACCTAGCTGGCCACTTTAAAAGTTCTGAGTTATGTGCTTCAATGAGCTAAAACAACCAGTCTCAAAAATATATCATTGACGTAACCCAGGTTAAACAAAAGTTACTGAAACAAATTGTCAGGAGGAGCTTGAATACCCCTGAACCATGAAGAAATCAACGTGTCGCATTATATTGATGTGAGACTAATGTGTTTGTTACATGTGGTTCAAAGCTGCTTGCAACAATTAAACTGAAATATATCTAATTGGCCATGCTTATTTTTTCAATACAGTTCTTGCTGGAGGTCATGAGTACCACTGTATCAATTAGGAGGAAGATGTTGTTCTATGTACACAAATTGCATTCAGCTAAAGGTGCATGAAATTAAGATTTCTTGACACTGCAATCAAATTAGTGTTTAATTCAGTGGACCAAACTTGCCTGAGCCTTATAAGGACAGTTAATCTCCAGCTGAATGATTATTATTATGGATTTTACTACTTTAGCTGCAAGCGCGTCTGCCAAGTAGATTTATATTTGTTGGGTGGGGTGAAACCATTCTAGTGTAACTGGAAGTTTACAGACTCTCAATTTATTCACAGTGCACAATGCTCTTTCATCAGCTAACTAAAATCTTCCTTATGTTTCTGGGAACTCAAATGATCAGCAGTAAAATGAAAAGAATGTCAGAAAACAAGGAAGAGTTAATTGTAGTCTGTACCATACCTCCAAATGCAATCTGTTAACACATTAATGTATCCCCAGTGATGTCAAAGATACTATATGTATCCGCAAAGGGTCAAATTCTAAATTCCAAATTCAAAACATGGCTGTCTGTGGATCATAGCTGTGCTGTATATTCACCTACAAAATACAGTCAATCCACTTTACAGAATATCCTAGGAAGTGCTTTGAAATGTCTCAACCATGTGATAAGTGCTGTATCAAACGCAAGGATTATTATTAAATTTCCATCTTCACTTTCAAATGCTTTCATAGCTTCATCCCACCTACTTCTGCAACAAACCACAACCCTGCTGTCCTGGTTGCTACCTCTGCTCCATTGACATCAGTCCAGTTCATGGCTGTTTGCTCCATCAGTGGACAAGCAATCAGCTATTCTACTCTGTTCTCTGGCATTCATTCCCGGTGTCCATCCACCTCCCCCCTCACCTTCAAAACCTGCTTTAAGATCTACCTCTTCCACTATGTTTCTGCCACCTACACCCTCACCCCCACCAGCTTGGGCTGCAGGTCAGTTGTGAATATCTTCCTGATTTCAAAGTTCCTAAATTATTGTTGTACTATCACAGAATTAGAAAAAAATGAATCTTGTTCTACATTATTAAAACAGTATAGTTTGCTTAGATACTCAATTCCTAGTAAAGAAATATTTAGGTTTAAAAGCATCTAGCAAGATTAGAAAAGCAAATTATTTGATTAAATTTGATTAAATTTTTTAAAAAAGCACAAAATTACAAAATGGATGTTTGAATTGCCAAAAGAAACGACTGTATTGCAATGATAAAAATGATTTGGAGCAGATTTAGAAGTTTTATAGACTTTTTTAAGATTGATTTGTAGAAGGTTGTTTTTATTTACCGACCTTTGGTGTCTGCTAGCGTCCTTGTGTAATCAATCAGCTGGATTTTGTTGTGCTGAATGCATTTTTAAAATAAGTTTTGCAATGCATTAAAAGTTGCAATTTTCAGAATAATAAATAACCATACTTAACATTGGTCTCTCCCAAAAGTAAACAGAAACACTTAACAAAACAGATGCAGAAACCATGAAGCTGAATTTTGATAAATCAATCCATAATCAAAGAATTTCTGAAAAGGCTATGTGAATGTTTTAACATACACAGCTGGTGGCAACTTTGTTTGGTAAATATAATACTGGAATCTTTCGATAAAAACTAAACTTCATGATCATCTAACATATGTGAAGAATTTCTATATTGTAAAGTATAGAATAATGTGAAAAGCTTGGTCTCAATCTAAACTTTCCAGGATACAATTACGATTAGATAGTTCAGCTTCATATTTGTGATCTTCTGACCAAAGGAAGAAGAATGAGGAAAAATACAAATTCAATGTCCATACATACAACAACAACTTGCACTTATATAGCACCCTCCATGCAGGGTAGCGTCTCAGAGCCCTTAACAATGGTGGAGCCTAACTCTGAACCGGGGGGAGGGGGAGATGGCCATAAGCACGGTCGAAGAAGAAAGTTTTCAGATGGAACCTGAAAGAGGGGAGTGAGGGCACAAGGTGGAAGAATTGAGGGATAGTATTCCAGAGTTTGGGGGCATAATGGCTGAAAGCATGATCTCTGATAGTGAGGCAGAGGGTGCGAGGGTCAAGCAGGAGCCTGGTGCCAGTCGAGCAGAGGCGTCGGGTGGTGGATTGGGGGGTGAGGAGGTTGGAGAGGTAGGGAGGTGCCAAGGAGTGAATGGATTTGAACATGAGTGTGAGGATCTTGAAGTTGATCCGTTCGGTGATGGGGAGCCAGTGAAGCCTGGCCACTGGTGAGATGTGGGAATGGAGATCGGTCCGGGTCAGTATGTGAGCAGCAGAGTTTTGAATGAGCTGGATCTTGTGATTGGTGGAGCTGGGGAAACCGGCGAGAAGTGCATTAGAGTAATCCAAGTGGGAAGATTACTACATTGAAACATTTGTGTTTTATAACAAAAAACAGGCAAGTTTGAAAGGTTTGCACCATACCAGATTAATGTACAGGTGATGAATTATGGACCTAATGGGTCCATAGCCATCAGCAAATGGCTTCCCCACCATATATTTATACAAAGGACCTACAAGACCCAGCTTTCAGTGACTGAGAATCAAGATTTCACTTCAATCTTCAGATTCACTTTAAAACACTTTATATTCATTCATTGACTGTTTTCCCCAAAGTCACTACTAGAATTAAAAATTATACTAAGACAGTACTCATGATTGATTCTTGGTTGCCTGGAATAGTTTGGCTGATATGTAGTGCGCAAATTAATTGGGAAGATTGGTGAATTGGAATATTCAAACCAAAAAAGGTATGATACCCATATTACAAACATTGGCGCTTTATTTCATAGTATATGGTCAAGTTAGTACATAATCAGCTCCAAAAATTTTGGATTTTTACAAAAAAAATGACACTTACAGAGCATCCATCACAACACAGGATTGACCGTCTGGATACTCCAGAATACAAAATTTTCCAAATCATCCCTCTCCCCGCGGAAATAAATAGAAACAAAATAAAATTTAAATACCGTGGGAACTAGTAACAAATATATAAATGCTAGGTTTTCACCTCAATAATGAAATCACAATCGCTAAACTATTACAGTCCATTCACAACATTGCCCAGTTGTGGGGAAATGTTATACGTACTGAACAATAACAGCGATTATATAATTTGGGAATAACAATTGGACTGAAATATTGCACTCTTTGGGAAAGAATGTTTACTCACAAAGTCAAAGGGAAAGTACATGTTGTCTTTAAAATGCATCTGCAGCATGGTAGGGAATACAAGGAGCGTATACAGTTTCTCCCTTTCCATGGAACACCACATTGCAAGAACTGAGATATTTTGGTTACCTAAGATACGTAATAAAAAATCACAGCGGGAAGCTGAGCTTTACAACATTGTTGCCACAATATAGAAAAATATAACTAGCTCTGAATGAAGATGCCCCTACTTGTAATATTGTACAGTTACTTCACTCATTCTAAGGATATTTATTTAAGTTACTAATTCAGTATAATTTTGCACATTATGCAACGCATTTTTAGAAAAGAATCTTCACACATTAAGTTAATGCCAATCAAAGGTTCTTCCAACTGTTTCAAAGAATTTGCGATTGGGTTCACTGAAGAATTCATGGAGTTTGTTGAGTACAGTGGAGTCTACTTGAGGATGGGTTCTTCCCTTAGACTCGTGCAAGCATCGTTCCCTCACGCCATCCCGGAGGCAGTAAAATCCTTTAGTTTTGTTGAAGTAAAAATTGGACGCATTAATCCTTGGGGACAGCATGAGGAATCGCTCAACTTTCTCCATTTCAGGGAAAGGCTCTTTAATGAGTTGATCACCATCTACAATGTGAATCTGGCTGAGAGGAAAATATTTCAGCCAGTTTTGCATGTGGATGTAATACAAACTGCGGTTGACTGCCTTGTAGTCCAGATTTACCCGGCCATTTCTGATTAGCATTTCCTCAACTGACTGAAAGGGTTTGTGCTTTTGCATACGATTGAAGAATACTTGCGTGTAGTCAGAAATAACTCGCTCGGTTGGGTCTCGTAGGATCAAGAGGAGCCGAGTTGTTTTATTCATGTTATAGATTCTCTCAGGCACTTCAGACGAGGTGAAATAAGCTGGAGTTTTTTCCACCGTGAGTTGACGGGGGTAGGAAAGTGGCATTTGCTTGCCATACCATTGAAGACCTTTCGCATAGTTTTCTTCCCAGTCAAAGAAATGGATTTCACTTTCTGCTGCAGTAACATCCGGATGCAAGTTCAGCATTTCCAGGAGAGCTCTGGTGCCACCTTTCCTCACTCCAATGATTATGGTCTGAGGCAACCTCTGGCTAGTCCCATTGGGAAAGACAAGTGGCTGGTAGATCTTCTGGCTGGAGTAGTTATTCGGCAATGTATAGCGCATGGCATGAGGCGGGATCCTATACTTAAGGTCAAATCTTGGCCTGGAGGGCACCACCACTGGGTGGACCAGAAACAGAAGTAGTCCAAGAAAGAAGGTAGCCATAAGGGAAGACTTTAATCTGGATTTGTTAACCCAGCGGAGGGCATACGGAGTAAACTCCACATGGAACTGGGCTGAAACTCTTCTGAATATGTTGGTTTTCTTGTGGAAACCGTGCTCACTAAAGAGAGAGAGAGAGAGAAAGTTTAAATATATATGTAGCTATTAACAGTGAATAAGACTTCCACATTGTAATAAATCTGCAGGTACTTTTTGTTTTGTTTTGCAGACATGAGCAATGAGCATTAACACAGCACAACCTATCGTTTCGCTAAATTAAAACATTCCAGCAAAAGAGGTTGGCAACAAATGGTCGGTGCACAGATCGTCCCAAATCCAATTAACAAAAGATTTCTCATTTTCAAACGACATTGCCGGGTCTATTCTCATAACATTTAATTGCATTTACCTATTCAATATCTCGAAATAAAACAAGAGTTGTAACAAAATATCGCTGGTACTGTATTTTTTTTTGCCAGAGTAATTCATTGGAGAAATATTAGTATTTAGAAGCAAGGATGGTCCAGAATATATTTGCATTGCATTTAAAGAGTGTGGCTTATCAACAGTGAAGGACAACAGCAGAGCCAAACGCTTATTTATGGGAGGATGGAGTGGGGGGGAAATAGAGAAGCAACGAAAGATCCTTTAAATGTTCTTTTTCGGGATTAACCCGTTTCTGTAACCTGCACAAAAAAACACACACACACACACACACACACCCACCCCACAGCCTAGTGTTCTCGACATACCAGTCTGCATCGCAACCACATCCCCCTCAACAGGCTGCTCTGCCGGAGAAAAGCCTCCACTCAAAAGATCCTTTATACCCTTCAGTCGTAACCTTGTCGTTTTGCCTCATTGCAGCGCTTTTGGCGTTTCCCTCCTCCCTCGGTCACAAACGTTCAGGTTTTGTGCATTTTTTTTTGGGGGGGGAGGGAGGGAGGGAGGAGTGGGGAGGGTTGGTGGTGGGGGTGGTGGTGGTGGGGGGGGGGGGGGGGGTGCCTTGTGCTACATCTGCACAGGATGATGAATGCAGTGAAGTAGGAGGTGATCCGCTGTCGTTTCCTTCAGTCGTTAATTGAGAGCAGAGGCTGAGCATTCCCGACACAGCCCCGAGAGGACAATCCCACAAGAGGGACCGGGCCATGGGATCAATGCAGAGGGCGAGGTGGCAGTGCTGCTCAAAAAAATCTGCCTTGGTCTGTCGTGTCAGAGTCGGAGGCAACTTTTTTTTAATATATATATATATTTTAATATATATATATATATATTCTCGGCGACTGGAGCTGTTAACGCTCTGTTTGTCAAATGGGAGCAGTTTAATAAACATAGGCTGTGGATTTGATCCAAGTGACGAGTGTGATCACCATAATGTTTCCAACAGAACAACATGTCCTGACTGTACTTCCCCCCTCCACCCCCTCTCCCCCCCATCACCCCCCCCCCACCCCAGTGACAGCTGCAAACCACAGCTTTCGGATGGAGGAGGACATATTATCGTCAATTAAAAAAAAGTCTAAATAATTGTACGGTGACAAGAAAGAAGAAGAGAGAGAGAGAGAGAGAGAGAGAGAGAAATCACTTCGAGTTAAAAAAAAAGGTTGAGAAATTCTAATAAGACCCACGACACTGGGTTGCAGGTTTGGAAAACCCTTCGAGCAACTTAAAGAGACATATTCTCTTTACCTTCTCCACGGTTACTACTGCAGAGAAACCCACCCTCAGCAGGCAATCCGAATCCCAATGGGTAAAATAATTTTTTTTGGGGGGGGATTCACTCCTGTTCCCAGAAGGGTTTCCATCACATTCATTCAACATCCCGCACCAACTGATCCACAGACCCACTCAAACTTTTATATATATATATATATATATATATATACTGTGTGTGTCTGTCTGTGGCCATTCAACGCAGCATTTCAAACAATCTCAACCATCTCAAGCAGCAACAGCTATTTACATGGAATATCTCACACACACATATATATATATATACAGTATATGTCGTAGTTACATGTTAACCTTCTACAGATGGTGGGAGCGAGTTATTCGATTTGGACTCGACTGGTCGGTGCCTTTGGTTTGCACCCAAGTGACTTTGATCCAACTCCAGACTGATCGACTTAATAAGTAAGGCGAGTTTTGGCAATCTCAGCAGTTTCTAACAGCTACACGACCGCCACAGAAAGCTCCACACGCTCATATTGTGTTGTGTGAAATAAAATAAAACAGAAATCGCTGGGAACACTCAGCAGGTCAGGCAGCATCTATGGAAAAAGGAAAGTCCACGACCCTTCGACAGAACAGTATATTCTGTGTATTGTATTTGCAGACGGCAACACAATTGCTTGGTCTTGGCTCAGGAAGGGATTTGAGACATTGTGCATTGTTGCAGATTGTGTAAAGGTTAAGGACTAAACTACTTGTACTGCACCTCTAGGGTACATACAGTATAAACCCCCCACCACACCCCCCACCTCAGATTGCAAAAAAAAAGTTTAGACCTGAGGTGCACTGAACAAACAAAAAAAAAACCTTTATAATCTCCGAAAGCTCTTCTGAAGTTTGCTGCTGTACAGAGGCAATGCGGACACTTCCAGAGATCTTTGGACTCGAGTTGTTATTGTGTTTCACCTGACGAGATCCAGCGTCGTGGCGACAGTCCACGGGTGGAGAAAAAAAGAGAGGTATTCTCGGAGGAGAAGAGCAAATATGCAGACCATTTTCTGCCTCGTTGTTAAAAAAAATTCCCAGGGCATATGTCAGAAAGTGGGGGGGGGGGGGGGGGGGTACATGAACCCCATCGCAGGGCACAGATGAACTGTGTGGTGGGCTGTGATGGGCTGTGGTACCTGCAGTCTCGGTGCTCAGGAGTCTCACCAACACCCAGAGCTGTTGCTGGTGATCTGAACGCGAAGGAGAGTTGGTGCTGTGAATGACTCTGTAGTGCTCTTCGACGACCTTTAAATGTTGTCGGTACACACAGATCGGTGACGGATATTTACTCATTTTCGCTGAATTTATGCATTCTTTTATGTCAATGACACCCCCCCCCCCCCCCCCCCCCCCACACACACACACACCTTTGCTTTCCCAACACCCTTTTGACATCAAAACAAGACCTTCAAAATATCTGTGGGGATTTATTTTTCTGGAACCAAATAAAAAAGCGCACACCTTTGAATCCGACCCTTGACTTTGCAAAGCCTCGAGAACATATTCCAGGACAGGAGAGAGGGTACACGATCCAGAGGTTTCACGATTTTTTTTTAACAGCACTGTGGAGTTTAGACGTCGTACGAACATGTGCAAAGTTTTGAGAGCTTTATTGCATCGCAAAGCAGTTTCACCAGAGACGTGTTTGCGATGAGGACACTTTGCAGAGCCCGAAGACGCTATGGTTCTGGTCTGGGGGGGAGGGGGAGGGGGGGAGGGGGTGTGGGGGGTGTTTTTTTTAAATATATATTTTTTTAAAAAATTGCTACTCAAACGGTTCAAATAAAAATCCAATGCGATTGCAATGAATGCAGGACATATAAGGGTCGGGCGTCCTGGGAACGGGAGGAAGTTTGCAGAGAATTCAGACTTTACCAGAAAAGGGCAACGAAATGGGAATGTGCAGTTTTAACTCTCACTTTTTTGGGGGGAGGGGGTTGGGGGGGAGAGGGGGAGAGGGGGGGCACTGCAAACCCGAAAGCAGCCTTTCGCGATCTGCTGCGATCGTTTGGTTTCAAAGCGTGAACCTCTCCGTGGAATCGCTTGAGAAAGAAAGAGAGAAAGAGAGAGAGAGAGAAAGAGAGAAATAAATCGAAACAGTACGAACGAATTCGGCTCCAACGTTACCTGCGGTACAGGTCTCCCTCACAAGCCACGGCTCAAGCAGAGTCTCGCATTCCAGCGAGAGGGATAATCGCTCCCAGTACAACTGTTCGGATGTCGCCCACAAGAAGCTGCTTTCCCCCTTCCCCTTCCCCTTCCCGCCGGGAGAGACGGGCGCCCACAGACTCCCCGGCGCTGTGCTGTGCTGTGCAGAGGCGGAACTCTGCGCGATCACCGAGGGGGCCGGACTGAGAGGGGAGGAGAGGAGCTGAGCTGAGCCGTGCTGTGCTGTGCTGTGCTGTGTTGAGCTGAGCTGTATGTGTATGAGCTGAGCTGAGCTGTGCTGTATGTGCTGAGCTGTATGTGTATGTGCTGAGCTGTGCTATATGAGCTGTGCTGAGCTGAGCTGCATGTGTATGACCTGAGCTGTATGTGCTGAGCTGTATGTGTATGAGCTGAGCTGTGCTGTCTGTGCTGAGCTGTATGTGCTGTGCTGAGCTGTATGTGCTGAGCTGTATGTGTATGTGTATGTGCTGAGCTGTATGTGTATGTGTCTGAGCTGTGCTGTCTGAGCTGAGCTGTATGTGCTGTGCTGTATGTGCTGTGCTGTATGTGTATGTGTCTGAGCTGAGCTGTATGTGCTGTGCTGTCTGAGCTGAGCTGTCTGAGCTGTGCTGAGCTGTATGTGTATGTGTATGTGCTGAGCTGTATGTGTATGTGTCTGAGCTGTGCTGTCTGAGCTGAGCTGAGCTGTATGTGTCTGAGCTGTATGTGCTGTGCTGTCTGAGCTGAGCTGAGCTGTATGTGTCTGAGCTGTATGTGCTGTGCTGTCTGAGCTGAGCTGAGCTGTATGTGCTGTGCTGTCTGAGCTGAGCTGAGCTGTATGTGCTGTGCTGTGCTGTCTGAGCTGAGCTGTGCTGAGCTGCACTAAGACCCTTTGTTCGGCTGCTCAGCGCCGCTCTGAGACGGTCGGGGCTGCAGCCGCGGGAAGATCCTGGGATCGGGCGGTCGGGGCTGCGCTCATTGGCGACTTTTCCGCCTCATCCACATATTTAGACCCTCCCGTGCGCCCCAATTGACGCACTCGGCTTCGTGTCGCGCCGCTGCCGCCCGACCCCACCAGGTTACCGGGGCACCAGGTCGGCTCTCACCCCTGAGCCGCTGCGCCGACACAGCTCGACCTGTGAGAGAAGTGACGGACGGGAAACACTCGTCCCTTTAGTGTGTGCGGTGTGTTGTGTTTTTTTCTCTCCCAAACCCCCCCCCCCCCCCCCACACACACACACAAGGATTCAGAGGGAGGTGACTCTGCTGCTTCTGTGTCGTCTCATTTCTAGTTGCAGAATTTTTTGAGGAGCTACAGTTGGGGGTGGGGGGGTGGGTGGTGGGTGGGTGGGTGGGTGGTGGGTGGGTGGGCAGAGCCGCCTGTTGTTAGCGGTGAAGCGACTCCCGAGTTTGATCGGCTTAAGGTCAAGAGGAGGAATGTCCGCTCGTCAGGGCCGTTAATCGCACCGCGGCTTGGGATGTCCTTTTAACTTTGTGGTTAAGAGTCTTCACGTGCATCTTCCGATTGCAGCTGTACCGCACTTCCACGCAGAGTGCTCCTCACCCGAAACAAATGCCACAAGTGCTTCGCCTAATAATAATTAATAATAATCCTTGCATTTGGTTTAGCGCCTTATCACGTCCGTTGAGACGTCTCAAAGCGCTTCACAGGATATGCTGCAAAGTGAATTGATTGTATATTTTGTGGGTGAAGCGCAGAAGCCAATTGTGCACAGAGATGTCATGAGACTAATTTAAAGTGAAGTGAATGCTCTTATGAAGGCAGACAGCTATTTTGCACCAGCAACTCAGAACAACAACCAGATGAGCCCCAGACCACCGATCAGAATTTTCTGGTGATGAATTTGGAAAGGATTATTCCTTGAAGATTGCAGATTCTTTAACATTCACTTGAACCGTTAGGCAGATGGACCTCTGGGCTAATGAACCCTTCCAGAAAGGGTTGAAAACTGGAATAAATAATGCTGTACTTGCATTCCGTATACATCCTATCACATCAAAACATTTCGAAGCACCTAATAAAAGTAGTTACTTTGAAGTGTAGTGAATATAAGATCGGTGAGTGCGCAGCCAAACTCCCACAAGATGAGATGAACAGCCAATTACATTATTTTGGGGGTGAGAAGGATGTAGAAGGAGCACTGATTTCACATTTCACTATGCTGCAAATACATTTACCTGTCAGTGAAAAGAAATTATAAACAAAGCAAGAGAAAAGAGGGATTCAAGGAAGAGAGAGGGAGGGAGAGAGCTTGGACCCAGAGTAGCACCCAATATGAACGCAAGCGGATTGGGAGCCTAGATCAGCACAATTCTGACATTGTTTTTATCTTTGTGTCTATTCTCTTACCTGTGAGGAGTCAGATCCATTAGTGCCTGGAGTTAGTAATGGAGCTAGAGTTTAATCTGCGGCTATATATTGCAGCTGACAGTCTCAACTCTCAAGGTTCGGACTGACCACACAAAACGGACTATATTTTACCATAAACTGAGGTTGACTTATTAGAATCTAAATACAACTGAATTTTAAGGTAGCTAAATATGTACAGGATTTTTTGTGTGAAATGGCAATTGAGTGTAAAGTAGGCTGTAAGGATGCCTGGTGTGGGAAGTGGAATGGTTCATCACTTGTGCATACTTCTCCTGCTGGCATTGAGGGATCTTCATTTTGCTGTGCCTGACATTATTCAGCGCTACAACTAAGCAAGAAAACTGCACAGCTAATCAGACATACAGTGGCATTAGCTGAGGCCTATCCATCCTCTTCATAAGCAAATGCTTCAAATTCGAGAAGTGAAAGGTGAGAAAATACAATTTGGTAAAAATATTTTTAAAAAGTCTTTTTTTAGCAAAAACAGCGAGGAATGAGTGTTATAAACAGAACATGCTTCAGGGGTCAGTATAGTATGACATTTATGTGCACTTAGAAGCTAAGTAATAACTATCTCATAAATACACTGTGTGAGCTGTCAGGCTTGGCTCATTCATGGAAATGTGTTTCCATACATGTATTTTGCCTACAAATATGCATTCACTACATTTTGCAGTAAATCCTGTGAAGCGATGTGAGACTTTTTGACAATGTAATAGGATGCTATATTGAATGCAAATATTTTTTATATTTTTCTGAAATCATAGTGTTCCAAACAGTGCATGCACAAGTAATGGAGGGCGGGTGGAAGGGGGAGAATGGATGGGTGGGGGGAACGTTCTCAATAATCCTGAACATTAGCCGATCCTGGATAGAGGAGTCCACCTGATTCTCTGCTGCTGGGCACATTTGTAATGAGCCTGCAAATATAAAAGTTATTTGAAGTAGTTTTCAAAAATGGAAACAGTTTGTCAAATTGATGGCTTATAAACCTTGTGGAGATCATTTGGCAGGATTTATTTCCACACAAAAGCTTCACTCTTGGATTATGCCGAATATTCCATTTCTCACCAGCGCTTTCTGCTGTTGATCACAAGTAAACTGATTTTACATTATTCTTTGAGTTTTGAACAGTATCTCTCATCTCTCCTAATTGCTAATGGACTCTGAATTTATACATAATTACTGTAGTATCAAACCATGTAATAGATGAACACTGGAACAAACAGGACAGAAAGGAACTGCAAGAACAAATTCATTACTCCATTTAAACGAATAGCATCATAGCCTGAAGGACATATTTACCTGGGTTAAATATAGCTTTCTATTTATTTAAATGAATAGTTGGCCCATATAATTCAGCTTGCAGACTGATCTCTTAACTAGGTGAGGGAGCATGAGAGAAAGTTCTTACCATTACAGCTGTGATGGAATATAGATGGAAGTTCAGTCGTGGATTCTTAAACAAATACTAAAATTCAACTCTTAGTACACTTGAAAAATCAATGCAAATAATTTTTAAAAACTAAATGAACTTGTGTGACACACCTATTTGGATCAGCCAGAGCCTTTTTGCAAGGCTGATGGTCAGGCATAGACTTGTTACAATCTGACAAGACAGCAAGTCCCTGTGCCAGGAACATACACTTTGTACAACTTTTGTCAGAGATTGACAGAGCGCACAAAAATAATCCTTTCATTTGATATAGAGCCTTTGACGTCGGGAGGATGCCTCAAAGTGCTTCACAAGATAGACAGTTAAATGGTGTGACTGTGAGTATTTAGTTAGCAAATACAATAGCCAAATTTGAACACAGCAATGACCCACAAGAAACCTTGAAGTAAATGACCATTTTTTTATTTGGGGCATTGTTGACCCTGACAAAAGAACAAACTCTTCTCTTTTCAAGAGTACATGCAGAAACAGTCGGAAGGATAGGAGACATTTCCAGAACCAGGGCCTAGTTCTTTTTTTAACAATAAAGGATACTCATTAAAATGCTGAAAGTGGAGGGTGAATGATAAAATCAGTGGTATTGTCAGCATGAGATGGTGCGTAGATAAATTTCATGTATGATGTAAAAACATTTTCTAAATTTATGCAAATCTTTTGTTGTGCATATATGACAATGTAGAAGGAGTGTAGGCTGTTCTAATATTCCTCACATCTGTTTGTGGATTGCCTCACTGTGCAGAGAGATATGCAATTGGCATGAAAATACCCTTAGCAGGAGCACACTGAGAAACTAGGGTGAGTGTAATTCCCCAAAGCACATTGTAATAATTTCTTATAGAACTGTTTGCAATCCAGCTGTGAGAGATACAAGGAGTGTATGAACTTAAACATCAGTAAGATTTAACAATGTGGTGTTGTAAAATGCCTTTGACCTAATTCATGTAAAGCTGAACTAACTACACCTTGTTTTTATAAGCGTAATTCATTAAAATTAATTTGTGCTTTTTAAAAATTTCCTGTAAATTCCAGTGCACACTTTAATTACAACAACAACAACTTGCACTTAACTTGCACCCTCCATGCAGGGTAGTGTATCAGAGCGGTTAACAGTGGTAGAACCTGACTCTGACCCTGTAAATCCAGATTATGGCTAATATATTGACCTATACTTTTAAGGGCATGATAGATGTTGAGGTTTTGTGTAGGCATGATCTTTACATCAGTGCAACCAATACACCAAATCATATCGTAATAGACCCCGCGAGGCATAGAGGTAAACATTTCAAATGAGCCATGTGACAAATGGCTATAATGTTGAATATATATAGCTAGAGACTGCATGGGCAAATGGCACGTAGTGTTCAACATAATCCTTCCCACAGATTTAAGTGAA